TATGTGTGTGTGTGTGTAGAATGCATATATATATATATATATATATATATATGTGTGTGTGTGTGTATGTGTGTGTATGAATGCATATATATATATGTGTGTGTATGAATGCATATATCACACTAATTTGCATTTAAAAAACAATTTCAAGACAACTCTTCAGTCACTCTCATTTAGAAGACATTGAATTGTGTCACTTGTTGTCCTTCATAGCTTGTCTAAACTTTTCAGCTAACCTGATGAATATTTATGAGCATTTCTAAATTTTAAAATTTTGGAAAACAGATTGTTTATTGCTTGCATATATATTTGTTACAAAATACATATACTTGCATCTGCCTTGATAAAGTCTCTCAGAAGATGAAATGTGGTGGCTAACATAAGTTTTCATTTTGTCTTAATTCATATTACAGATATACTCCATCTGAAATTTATATATATATATATATATATATATATATATATATAAAACACTGTGACTGCTGGTAGTAATAAAACAAAAATAAATAAATAAAAGATTTACACCAACCAGTAAAGAACAAAATGTATATTAATTATTAGTATTATATATATATATATATATATATATATATATATATATATATTACGATAAACGTGCAATCAATTTATAAATTCATGAATTATTCACACAAAAACAAATGCAAAGGTTAATGATTTAATTGGCGAGGAAATCCATAAATACTTAAACAATTCAAATAAATATACAAAAACCTCGAATCCGTTATGAATGAAAAGATCCTTGTTTCCATAAATTTCTGCCGTATTAGTTCTTATTTTTACTACAAGCTTTCGTCTGTTCCTACAGACATCTTCAGGTATAGAATAGATGTTGTTTTTGTTTTTTTCTCTGAGTAATAAGAGGACAACAAAAATATATGTATTGTTGTATCCGAAAATGCTATTGGAAATGAGTTATTGTTTTTGGAGCGCGCAGTAGCAACGCTGAGTTTGATTTTAAATTTTTCACACAAAAAAGCTTTTTCCAATAGCATTTTCGGATACAACAATACATATATTTTCATTGTCCTCTTATTACTAAGAGAAAAAAACAAGAACAACATCTATTCTATACCTGAAGATGTCTATAGGAACAGACGAAAGCTTGTAGTAAAAATAAGAACTAATATGACAGAAATTTATGGAAACAAGGATCTTTTCATTCATAACGGATTCAGAGGTTTTTGTATATTATTTGAATTGTTTGCGATTTATAGATTTCTCGCCAATTAAATCATTAACCTTGCATTTGTTTTTGTGTGAATAATTCATGAATTTATAAATTGATTGCACGTTTATCGTAATTAAAATAACTGATCCAAGTGCGACTTTTGGATAATAAGTGCGACATTACTGTAATTATTGAACAATATAGTTCATGCCACTTTGACAGAAAATTTACCAGTAAAAAATTCATTCATCACCATAGTTGTACATGAACGCACAACTTTAAAAAATTTAAAATCAAACTCAGCGTTGCTACTGCGCGCTCCAAAAACAATAACTCATTTCCAATAGCATTTTCGGATACAACAATACATATATTTTTGTTGTCCTCTTATTACTCAGAGAAAAAAACAAGAACAACATCTATTCATACCTGAAGATGTCTGTAGAAACAGACGAAAGCTTGTAGTAAAAATAAGAACTAATACGGCAGAAATTTATGGAAACAAGGATCTTTTCATTCATAACGGATTTGGAGGTTTTTGTATATTATTTGAATTGTTTGCGACGATGGATTTCTCGCCAATTAAATCATTAACCTTTGCATTTGTTTTTGTGTGAATAATTCATGAATTTATATATATATATATATATATATATATATATATATATATATATGTATGTATGTATGTATAGGATAAGGAAAAAATAGAAAAAGTTTGTGAATTTAACATGTTTCACTTTTATTCAGGTATATAGGAGAAAAGAAAATTCTAGTATTTTTATTTTTGTATTACATGTTTTTCATCGGTTAAGTTGACCTCACATGGATTTGTCTTGTTCATTAACATCTATGTGTATAGATTCATGTGTATTATAAATTCAAGTTCAAATGACTTATCTTCATCTTATCTTAGGTCCGACTTCAAGTTTAGCAGACATGCTGCTCATCAGTATATGATAAACCTATTGAATTCATTAACAGATATCATTCTATATATATATATATATATATTGCATAGGGAATATTTGTCAGATTCCAAGCAAATTTCAAACATGTTTTCTACTAAAAAATAACATTATCTTGTGATAAGATTTAAAATTAAAAGTGTTGTAACATGACATTAAACTTAAACTGTTTGATTTTTATATTTTACAACTGTCTTTGTAAAAGTTATTTGTGTAAGAAAAATTCTTTGGAAAATAATTTCAACAATTTCACCAATAATTGTGTTTGCTAATGTCTATTCACAAACACACATGTACAGGGTGCAATGGATATAATGTCATCTAAATTATGCAAAAATGAAAATAACACTGACATCTCATTTTAACAGATATATTTACCAAAATTACACAAAAATAACTTGAAATACTAAAGAGTAAATTTATTCAATAAAATTGCCATTGCCTTCAACCACAGCCTACAGGTGACTTCAGAATCTCCTAGAACTCTTCTGGATGGTCTCCTTGTTTAAGTTGGTGAATGCTGCTATAATCCTTGCCTTCAGTTCATCTTTAGTGTTACAAGGAGTTTTGTTGCTCTTTCACTCAATTGTGCCCCATACATAATAATCAAGGGGGTTGCCTTCTGGGGAGTTATGTGACCAGATTTAAGGGGTGATATGGTCACAAAAATTGTCTGACAGCCATGACTGGGTTCTCCTGCTTGTGTGGCATGGTGCAGAGTCCTGTTGCCAGACATGGGTCTTCCAGCAGCCACCCTCTTGACCAAGGGAAACACTACCTCATCAAATCACTTGATGTCAGCCTCTGTGTTGATTCCGAGGCCCTGTGGGAAGATGAATCCAGGTATAACTTTGCCACCACTAGTGATCACTTCAAACACCTTCATAAACCCCCTTAGATTCATCAAACTCTTTCTGAATCCTCTGCACTGTCCTCAGATCAACACCCAAATACTCTGAAATGTTCATATTCAAGCTATTGGGGCCAATGCCAAGCAGGACAGGATACAGTCTCAAAATTTCTGATGGAGTGAAATGTGTCATGGTGTTCTTTTTCTCACAGATCGTGTCTGACTGACCCTAATATACTGTGTAGTCGACAAAATCAAAAACAAACAACACACATGCACAAAATTAGAAATATAAAATGGCAACAATTTACACATTGCATGTTATATATATATATATATATATATATATATATGTTAAGTCTGCTATTAGTCTATCATAATTTAGTGAATGCCATTCTGAATACTCAAGAGTATAAAACAACTTGTCACATTTTCATTAGATTAAGAAAAGCAACATGCCAATGCTTAGAACATATGCAATGTTTATTACTTCAACATTCAGAAAACAGTAAAGCAATTGGATTTGCAGATCAGATGTCAGGGTATTTTTGTATGCATTTCTGCTGATGTGAGTGTCAAGGAGAGTATATTTGTGTGTGTATGGAAATATAATCTATTAAACTAGATGTCTTACTTTTGGTGTTAGGGTGGGGAGATACACATGAGTGTGTGTATGTGTTTGTAAAAATTGTTATTGAAAGTGAAATAGCATTGATTGGTGTTGAGACAACAAATTTTTATTATTTTAGTTATTGGTAGAGAGAGGTTTATTTTTGCTTTTGTTAGGTGCTTTTTTAAGAGATTCAAACATTTTTCAATGAGGATATTAGTATAAAGTCATTTTATATCTAGTAATATTTATTTTCCTTAGTTTTTCAACAATGTTGCCTGAATTTTTTATATGTGATGGACATTGTTTCAAGGAGAGTGGTTAATATTTTTGCTATGGCTCCAAATGTTTGTTTTTTTTGGTGGGGGGCAGCCTATTCCAGAAATGATGGGGTGCATAAATATTAACAGGATTAAATACATGGGAAAAAAATAAACTCATTAATCAATGATATAGATACATATGAAAAAATAAACATAGCTAAAATAATAAAAATCTGTTGTCTCATTGCCAATATATATATATATATATATATATATATATACAAATAAATTCCCAAGAGGATAGAATCCAGGTAGAACTCAATGTCCAGGACAGAGTAAGAATATAATATAAAAGGCTCAAACACTAATATTCCATGGTTACAATTTATTACATTGGAATTGTAATCACGATCCAATTCATCAGACCTACAAATTCAAAATTTGAATTTGTAGGTCTGATGAATTGGATTGTAATTACAATGTTCCTTAACTTCAGTGAACATACGGGAATTGGTGGTATGGTCAAGAGGGAGGAGGCCATGTGGTCTGGGCAGTGCATAGGCTCCTTATATTATTGCCAAGGTCAGTGCCCTGGACAGGTCACACCAGTCCAATCTAAGTAATCAATATTCATTTCTTAATTAAGTGCATTAACAAGGAAGGAGAATATGTTAAAAAATAAACATTTGTGAAAATAGACTTATTGAATTACCCCCTCCCTAAAATCATTTAATGACATGTAATAACCACACCCTTTTTTTTATCCTACCTAGAATTTATTCCTGACTTTTGGCATGAAAATCCTGGCAATTTTTAAGAACTAAGTCACAAGCATGGCACGTTTTTTTATTTCCTTTGTTTGATTGGAGGCAGCCATGTTAAGGCCCTTGATACATTTGAAAGAGAAATAAGTACATTAAAATTTGGTGCATTCCACATAACATTATATGAGGTTGTATTACTGTTATGACTTTCTAAAGATGTGTTCTCAAATAACTGGATTAGCCTGTTTATAGATGCAATGGCCTTATCCAGATAGCAGCCAAGCTAGAAGCTACAATCACTTGAAATTTTTTCCAACTTGATGTAACATTATACTAGAATGAAACTTAAACCAACTTACCATTCCATTACAACCAATAAGGAAGGTACACTCTGGAACTGGTTGTGGTAGACATCAATTATCCGTACAATGTGTCGACAACTACATGCTCGCCAATGAAGTTCCACTTCTCTTCGTGATTTGGGCTCATCTCTCAGAACCTGAAGAAAAAAAAAATAATACAGTTTATAATTTAGCTAAGCCAAACAACTTCAGTCAGTCATATAAAACAATTTTTATGTGTAGGGTGCTGAAAAATTCTCCATCTAACCCACTTCCTAAAATCTAATCACAAAATGATCAAATATTAGAATTTATTTTTTTATCCTACTTTGGTTAGACTGTGAACTTCTCAACACCACTTGTGTGCGCATTTATGTGTGTGTGTGATACATTTTTTTTTTCACAAAGTGCACATATACCAAACTGATAATAGACAGAAGTGTCAGAAAGTGACATTTCAGTTTTATTAAATCACACAGACACTAGCTTATCTAGTGCTTATTTACATGTAATTTGTCTTGTAATTTTTTATGGGTACTATGCTAGAAAAATATAGGTCTTTGAATTTTTAGATATGGGTCTGCTTGGTGATTGACAGTGTTGCATCTTTCCTCCTAGTACCAACAATATGTCATTTTGAATAGCCTGACCCATTTCCAAAAGAAATTGAATCAAACGATAAATGTCAAAATTTTGTTTTTGGAATCCTTCATCAAACTGAAAAATTTTTCTTCATATATTTCATTATTTTTAAGTAAAAAAGTTACTTAAAGCAACAAAACACATGAAGTTGTGGAGAGCCATGATCGTCTGTCTATGCCAGTGATTCCCAACCAATTTTGGGCCATGCCCCACTTTGGTATTTCTAAAATTCTGGTGTCCTTCCCTGGTAATATTTAATTCTTACCTGTATGCCAATTACGCATGTACGTATATACACACAAAATATTTTTATGTATGCATATTGTATATGCATCGTGTGTATTAATGTGCATTAACATTAACACTCTCAGACTCACTAGGAAACAATTCACTGTTAATAACTCATTCTCGAATTGTCCCCTTATTCTGTTGGTATAATAAGCCGAGGGGTGCACGTCCTACGCATGTCCCACCAAAATATTACCATGCACTCCATGTTGGAAATCATTGGTCTATGCATTCTATTTGGAAAATTAAATGTGGTCGTCATTTTTTGACAATATAAGTTTTTTTGATACTTTTACTTTGAAGGATTTAAATAGAATTATTTTTAACGATACAGTTAATTATTTAGATAAAAATCCTAGTTACACATGCAGAAAATATATCCAATATAATCGTCAAATTACTTGTATATGGCCATCAGTTTTTGACAGCCCCAGTTGAAGAAGCTTACTTTGCATATTTTTACTTTTGATTTAAAAAGCAGAATTCCTTTCTAACAAGCGACAATATAGTCAATCATTTATGCCCATTAGGACACCATCATCACATTCATTGAAGAATATTACTTAAAGATAAGAAAAAGTTTTAATCATTTCACTCGAAGCAAGGCAATAAAGCCACTAAGATGCAAGCAGTTACTGATTGTTAGAGAATACGAGAAAAAAACACTATTAAGGAGAAAGACCAATAAAAGAACAGAAATTAAGATAATTGACATTACATTTAAATTTTTGAAGTTCAGACTTAACTAGAAAGCAAAAAGTGGTAGAGTTCCAAAAGCAAGAAATGGGATATAAGAATTTCCATATCAAAAGAATCAGAAGCAAGAAATGGACTAGAAGAACCAGTCTTAGCAAAGGGTAAAAATACAGCTAATGGCCACAAGGAATAGGAAGTTTATTGAGAGCCATGATCACTTGTCCTGAAGTGACATGGCACGAAGAAGTGTGTACAGATACTCTGATTGTAGATCAACATAATAGCAATAATTTCAGTATTTTTTATGGGTAATATACTAGTAAGTAAATAGAAATGAAATAAAGGAAAAGAAAAATGTGGCTGGATTAAGACGAAACATTCCAATTATTTCAATTTTTTGTTCTTTTACATTTTTCTTTTCTCCAAAGGGAAAATAAAAATTTCAAATATTGAACAATGTTCAAATGCTCAGAGAAAACTGTTATAGATAGATTTAAAAAAAGAAACAAAAAAAAATAGCACACAAAGTATAGCTATTTACTAAACATCACTTAGTTTAACCCTTATGAGGTGCTCTATATCTGTGTCCTTATGCCAAACTAACCGCTATTAATCTACTCATAACACTTGCTAACCTTTGACCTACAATGACATGACCAATTAAAGAACATATAACCAAAATTTCTTTGATTTGATTCATTTCCTATGGCTTATCAACCCTTTGCAGGTTATTTAAAGCCAGAAAATATTTTTAGATTGTAACAAATTTTTTTTAGATAATAATGGTTGAGTGAAACCAAGACTTACTAATTAACCCATATCTGGGGAGAGAAGATATGGATTTATACCTAACCAGAATTTGATAAACAAGAAATGATAATGTGTATATATAAAGGGGGATCAATTCTATATTACAATCAATATATAAACTGATCCCTTACTTTGTGGCCACGGTAGTTTCTATACATTTCTATTCCAGAGAATGTAAATAAATCTAAAAGACATGCCTGTGTAGCTAATCAGTATTTCAGTGATTCATTCATTCATTTTCTACGGTTTACCAACCCTTGTTGGGTTATTTAAAGCCAGAAAATATTTTTAGATTGTAAGGATTTTTTTTTTTTTGAGATAATAATGGTTGAGGGATACAAGTCTTACTAATTAACCTATAGCTGGGGGGGGGAGAAGAAGCAGATTCATACCTTTCGCAAGGGTATGTAAGTGAATATAACAAACCAAACAAGTCATTATCTATTCCACCAACTGCACATCCAAGTTTACAGCAGCTTGTATTCCCAAGCAGTCACCAATCCAGGTACTGGTCACGCTTGACATTGCTTAATTTTGGTTATCATATGGGAATCAGTGTTTCAATTTCATATGGCTGTAAGCCTCAGAATTTCTTTAAACAAACAGAAAAACTGGGAATTTTTGTCTGTTTTGTCTTAAACTCTTCAAGCAGCAATAACAAGTCACAATTCTAAAACAATATTTTAAATAAATATTACATCATCATGTAATTATGCTTGTCCCTCTCATTGTTAGTTTGCACAACCATTATGCCCTGCCAACACTATACAAATAATAGACTAAGACAAGGCATATCAGAGGCACTACTTGGTTTCAGTAAAAAAATGAAAGAAACATAGAAGTGTTTAATATCTTTTATATATCTCATAAATAATGGACTATACTGTTTCGATCCTGTGACAAGACAAAAGACATCAAAAACGCTACTTGGTTTCAGTGAGAAAAAGAAAGGAAAGAAAGAAGGGAAGTAGAAGTGTTTCACGACTCTTTTAGTGAAATGGAAAAATATCGTTTCAAATCTTTTCATTTGTACCCCCTTACTTCTTAAAATAACGACCATCATTCTTATTGATGATTGTTATTGCAATATTTTGTTAAAGTTGTTAAGCTCAAATATTTAACAATGCGATAGGGGAATTTCTACAGATATTTTATTGTTGTACAACTGGCCATGCACTTATTCAATCATTAACTTAAGAATTAAGATTCATCAGAAAATTCAAATAGGAAAACCATGAAATTTTGACAGATTAAAACTAGTTATTATTATAAAATTCAAATTAACTTCATATGTTGTCACTCTAGAGTTAATAGCGAGAGAAGAGTATCTGTTCACCATCCAATTGTAATAAGAGCCAAAAATTTTTATAGCTGATAATCAGAAACTTGAATTTAAACAAACTCCTCATGCTTATTGATATGGGATGTAAATTTTTTTTGTTTTTTTAAAATATAGCAGTAACAAGTCACTTCCAAATGCTGGACAATCTTCTCACAGATAAAGAGACTACAGAAGGATGGTGAGAATACCATAGTGCAAATATGTGAGCAACATGAAAGTTTTAAGGAAAATGGAAACAAAAATCAAAATTTCATACTAACTGGACATATCTGGTAGGCTAATATTTACTTATATGCCACAGAAAACCAGTATTGTTCCTAGTTTAAATCTATGATATTGCAATATTAAATGACAACCACCTTCCCAATGTCATCAGTTCCCAAGTCAGTATTTATGTTGAGGACATAAATTGTTTACTCCTATCTTGATAGCAAAATCTTTTTAACATAAATAGAGGTTTATTCCTTGTTTCCTGTTCAGGGTTTCTGTCTCCTTCTAAAGTCTACGTTAACTGTATACTTTTAATATCTCTGCCTAAACTGAAATGTTATTTATTTTCTTCCTTCAGTAGATGTAGATAGGCTTTTTGAATAGGAGTAAAGCTTTATCCTTTGTATCCTGTTTAGGATTGGATTTCCAGTCACTTCTAAAGTCTACTTCAACTTGATACTTCTAATATCTCTGCCTAAGCTCGGAAATTTCTTTTTTTTTTCCTAGTAGGAGTAGATTGTTCTGTTGTTCAGTACACAATCCACTCCAGTCATAGAGTTGGGTTTCCAGTTCCTTCTAAAGTCTTATTCTCTTTCACTCTCAGTAGTCCCTTGTGTCTTTATTGGGTGAATTGATTAAAAAAATTAAAAAAAAAAATCTGATATGTTCAATAAAATCAGCCTGGCATCTGACCCTGAAAATGAACCTTCAATTTGTTAACTGGTGCAAAAAATGACTTGTTAATTTTAATGCCTCAAAAACAAAACTGCTCTCTATTAATCATCTTAAAAGAACCTGTTTCTGCCTACCATCAATATGGCTGATGCTAACCTCCAGGAGAATGACTCACTGCACCCACTCAGTCTCACATTTCCCATTGACATTGAGTGGTACAATTATTTTGAATTGATTGTTAAGTCAGCTGCTTGGAAAGTCTCCAATTACTTAAAAAAAAAAAAAAAAAAAAACAGTAGTCCAAGTTGCTTCTCCCACCTCTTCAATAATTGAAATTTAACAACAATTGTTTGTCAAATGTAT